TCTCTCTCTCTCTCTCTCTCTCTCTCTCCCCGCTTGCGAATGTGGATGATGTGTATGTGGGTTTGTGTATATACACGTAACCCATAGGGCAAAACGCTGAGAAACCCCATGGAATCCTGGTATGACCATTCTGATGACAAGTATTCATTCATTCAATCCATAACAGAAGCCACAATGTGCCCCACATCTCGCAGTGCACCAGTTCACCCGTTCTCTTCATTCCATCCACTGTGTGCTTTTGGATGTTAACATAGCCTGGCAAGACTAAGATCCTCACACCTACACCAGCAAACAACCCAAGACATGTTGGCTTGCAACACTATCTGGGATCTGCAAATTGTTGGTCAGCATCGGGCACACCTGCCTGAGATCCTTGCCAATCTCTGTGGGCTGACTGCGACTAACGTCTGTCGTCACATTTTTCACTGGCTGTTTTATACACCGTCAGACTTCCTTGCAGCTGTCCTTCAGCTTGATGCTGATCTCACCCACTTACAGCCAGAGGACTGTAATTATACGAGGGAAAGAGGATTTACCGTCGCTGTCCTGCAGGTAGCAATGAGGGACCGCCGACTTGAGTTACTCTATGCTCGAGCCGGTGGCTGGTTTGATCCTCCATCCCACATCTCTGCCTGCATTGTGCACGGACCTGGCCCATTACATGGGCATTGTACATGCCTCTGACAACTGGGAGCTGTGGGACAACGATGTCAACGTCCATGCCATGAGTGAGGTTAATGATTTCGTACATAATGATGCCGTTTTTTTGCCGCCCCAAACCGTCCGCGATCTCTTCTATGTTGAAGATCATTCCTCTGGCCCCATGCTGAAGCAGGACAATGTACCAACGCTCTGCGACCTTCTCTTTTGCAGAGTTACATTCGGCTGTAGCCACCATCGTCTCTCTCACAGTCACTACAATGACATGGTTTCTGCATCCATGTGGCTAGAGGACTGCCGTCCGTTCCTGAATGTGCGCACCCTCCACATCCGGACACTATATGTTCAATTTGGCGGTTATGGGCGCTATACTGCATGCATGTGGTCTTTTTTTTTTTCTTTTTTTTCTTTTTTTTTGGTGGCGCTATCCTGCATGCATGTGGTCTTTTGTGGTGAACGTTCTTCCTTTACTTTGGCCTGCAATCGGAATGCCATTTGTTGGGGGTGTATGGTGGGCATCTTCAATGCCAGCCGTCGTGGCAATTGTTATACTGAGAATCCTAAGCTGGGTCTTCCATGCGTTCGTTCACCTCATCCTTACAATGTATGGCCTCTCGGTCGTCAAGGACAGACTCGTTCTTGAACCTTTTCGTATCCTCCCCTTTGCCGTCATCTTCATTCCACGCTATACTTTCCCTTTCTTTCCCTTTGTTGTTCGTTGTTTCTCCTCTCCATCTCTCTTCCATGTGTTTATCCCCTCCCCCTGTACTCTGCCTCTTTCTCACAGCATATAAGTGGGCCGTTATGGCACACGGGGATGCGGGCAGCTCACGCTCAACTTCGTCAACGTGGCGAGCCTTGTACGTGAGAGGCACGGTGAAAGGGGAGTTAAAAGAACAATGAGAAAAGTTAATGGTTTCAGTGTGCCTCACCCTCATGTTGGTGTTGTTGGTTTTTTTTTTTTTTTAACGGTTTTCTTTTTTTTTTGAAAAGGACATGCTCCAATCTATTCGTGGGGAGCAACACGTGCTGGGAACCGGGCCCAGCGTCCCATTCGAACCCATATTGAGAGAATTGTGCAGAAAACTTTAAGATGCCGGGGCCATTACCCGGCTACGGCTGAAGATGATAGCTGTACAACCTACCCAACCATCTATGAACACAGTGGAAAAACTATCAATTACTCATGCAATCACCTACCAAAGAGGTCCTACGAATAGGTGAAACCTATTCAATCCACCTACAACCACCACCAGCATGGCGAGAATCCGCACGAACCGAAGCTCTTCCGGGCCTCATGCTCCCATCAAGTTGGGTTACAGGGTTGCACCACCTTGCTCCAGCACTGGCCAGCATCGCTCCCGTTACGACCCCCGATGACCGCTAGGACTGCCCCCACAAACAGCTCCCCAGCTCTCTACCAGGCCTCACGCCCCCACTAAGCTAGGTCACAGAGTTGCGCCACCTGGCTCCGGCTCCGGCCAGCGTTGCTCCAGCATCGGTCCTCGAGGACCACCGACGTTTTAGCCACCCCTCGCAGGATCATGGGTGGATTTGCCGGGTCGCACCTATTCCTACTACCTCCTCGGAAGGCAAGCAAATGGCGAGCTATACCAAGCTGGATGATAGATTTCATCAAGCGAGATTGCCCCTCCCTCCCCCTACCCCTCCCCTCTCAGCCCTACACTGCCTCCTCTGAGGAAGGTCATCCACCCTCCCTCGGCCCCAATATAGGACCAATCCTCTCCCCCCTTCCCCCAGGACCACGCAGTTCCCACCTAAAACGTGCCCCCCCACCCCTTGCCCATTTCCACCTCCGCAGGGACTAATGTTGGCCCTCACACAGTCCTCGCCCCGGAATAAGGCCACCCCCTACTCCGCCCCTACCCCTGTCTCTTATACACATCTAGATGTGTATAAGAGACAGGTCCTCGCCCCGGAATAAGGCCACCCCCTACTCCGCCCCTACCCTCTTTGAGACATTCGCCCCCCTCCTTGCGCTGCCTCTGCAGGATAGAGCTCCCCCCAMCCCSTTCCCACCATTCAACCCTCCRGGAACAATCCAATCCAGCCTCGCCTTCTAATGCAGAACAATATCTGATGAAATCAGGCTAATGATGATGATGATGATGGTAAAAGTGAGTGTGATTGCGAACTACTGATGATATTGATGATGATGAAGATAATATGATGACGGCGATGTTGATGGTAATTTCAACAATGATGATGATGATGATGAGCTGATGATGGTATTAGTGATATTCATAACGTTACCGATGGTGATGAGCGTACTAACAAGGCTGTTGATGGTGATGTAAGTAACGATGGTGATGATGATGATTATGAAAGAAAGTGATGACTCGGAACGCCCTCTGGTAACTACAAAAAGATGATGGTGTGCTAAAGAGCACCTTGGATAGCGACCTAAGAATGATGACGATGAAGATGATGATAATGCTGATGATGAAGATGTTGACGCACAGCGTCCTATGAAAACTACAAGATGATGATGATGAAAATGATGATAACAGCGCCGAATTTCACACACCTTGATAAAACATGCCCTGATGCTGATGATGGTGATGGCGAGCAGCGCCCTGATGACGATGACGAACCTGCTGCGATAATACTAACAAATCTCACCCGGGTGATGATGATAGTGACGAACGCGCCAGTGTCGCAGATGGCAGAGATACTTACAAATTAAAGTCACCGCACTCGATGTCGCCTCGAATCCTCCTCCCGCTCCACGTAAGCACTCGCTCCTCCCTTCCGTCTGCGTCATACCAACCGCCCACCACAACACTACGTGGACCAAGGAGCAGAAGCCATAGAAGGTTAAACTTCTCAAGGAGACCCACCTCCTCTCGTAGGCAGGTTCCCCTTCACCCACCGTGTCCACCTATGACACCACTGGGTGAAGCGCGAAGCCGGAGATGGCACTGGAGTGCTTTCAAAAGGTAGGCAGCACCGAGTCGCACTCTATCTCCCACCCGCCCGCCGTCCTCCTCATCTCCCAATCACCAAGGCGCCATCGCGTCGAAACTGCCTGCGTCATACCCGACTGTCACTTCGCACACGCCAGTTTCCAATCTGGCGGGCACCCCTG